ATATTTAAAATAGTACAAATAAAGTTAATTGCGGAGTCAGTAGGTGTTTCGCTGCCAGGGTTGTGGGTTGAGGGGATGGGCAGTTGGTGACCTCTGGGTCTGAGGTTGGTCCGGGTTGCTTGGTGTTCCTGTTTCAACCTCTATTCCTTCATTCATTGGAATTTATTTTTTATGAGTGCCTCTGTCGACACTTTCACCGCAGGGGGGGGGTCTCCTGTCGGCCCGGATACCGGTGCTGGCTCCTTGGACTCCCCTTGCTGACTCTTCAGGTGCCCTTGCTGACTCTGCGGGTGCCCAGTATGTTCCTAAGATTGATGAAACTCCTGCTAAATGTAAAGAAAAAATAGTTAGATCAACTGAAACATTATTATGTGCAATATTATTTGATAAAGGTGGATAAATAGGTCATCCTGTTCCTGTTTTATTATTAATTATTAAACTACAAATTATTATTATTAATGATGGTGGTAATAATAAAAATCTCATTTATTTAAACGTGGAAATTATATATTGGGACATCCTATTAATATAGGAATTAATCAATTTCCAAAACCACCAATTACAATTGGTATTGTTATAAAAAATATTATAATAAAAGAGTGAATTGTTAAAATTACATTATATAAATGATTGTTGTTAATAATTGAATTAATTTGTCTTAGTTCTAGAGGAATTAAAATTCCAAGCAATGATCCAATTATACCTGAACAAATACCAAATAAAAAGTATAAAGTTCCAATATCTTAATGATTAGTTGAAAAAGTTGATTTTATAGATAAAATGGCTAATAGGTTGTAAAAATGATCTTTTTATCATTTAAATCTTCTATTCAAATTATATGATATTAAATTGCAAAGTTAAAGGTATTAATTATTTAATTAAGGTTTACAATTTTAAAATATAATATTTTTAATTTTTAAGATAAATAGTTTATTTAATTAACTTAAAACCTGAAATGAAATCACAATTTTTTTTAAATAGATATTTATAAATTATATATATTATATTTATATTATTTTTAAATATTTATTTTAACATAGAAAATTAAATTTATAATAGTTAGTATAATTAATATTATTATAATAAAATACAAATTATTATAAATTAAAGCTTTCATTAGTATTCATTTTATTGAGAAACCTATTATAGGAGGTAAACCTATAATTGAGAAAATTAATATTAATATATTTAATTTAAAAAAATAATTAAATTAAAGAGTTTTATTTGATTAATATAGTTTGTATTATAATTATATATGTTAATATGCAATTAAAAAAATGTATTAACATTTAAATAAGAAATTATAGTTAAAGGTTTAATTTTTTGTCAAGTTATTATTAATAAGCAATTCAATTTAATCCTTCTATTATTGAGGGTAATCATAAGTGAAAAGGTATTAATCTTAATTTTATTAATAATGATATAATAATTAAGATATTATCATTATTTATAAATAATACATTTTTATAAATTAAAAAAATAATAATAATATTGAAACAAAAGCTTGAATTAAAAAATATTTTATTGTAGCTTCAATGGAGTAATTGAAATTTAAAGTTTCAAAATTGGAATAATTGAAAATAGATTTAATTCTAATCCTATTCATATATAGGATAATCAATTTGATGCTGAAATTGATATTAGAGATCTAAACATAAATATAAAAAAATATAATTTCTGTTAAAATTAAATTTATCAGAAAAAAAGAATTTTATTCTATATTATTTTGAAGTAAAAAATTATTTTAAAAAAAAATGTGTACTTTTATAAATAACGAATTTTGTAATGTGATATAGGTACCTTTAAACAAATTATAATAATTGTATTAATTTAAGGTATCATCATTTAATATAATAGTCACATTTTAAAATAATATAATACCTACTTATATATGTTATCCAATTAAAAAGAAAACACTGCAACTAAATAACAAACTTTGAATATAAACAAATTAATAATAATCTTAAATACAATATTTTTTTATTAAAATTAAAACAAAAAGAAAAACGTATGTACCTACATACTTTAATTAATTTTTATACATTTTAAATCTTTTGGGGCTAACTGCAGACCATTCGACCAGATGCATTGACCATAGCTGCTGGGCAAATATATACTGTTTTTACAATAATATTTATTTTGTTACTAATTTCTGTACACATTGTTAAAAGTTAATTTATTCTATCTATTTAATGTATGTTTTAAATAACAGATTTAATAATATAACAGTAATACGTAATAATGTATTCAAATTGAAATTATTGAAAATCGAGTTAAAATATTATTAAAATTAAAATAATATGTATAAGTTAAATATAAGTGTGTGTAATTATAAATTGAAATATATATATACATAAATTGTTAAGGGGACAATTTTGGTTAAGAAAAAAAAAATTATTTGTTATGAAATTTAAAAAATATTAACTTTACTGTAATAATATACACAATAATTACAAGGAAAAGTCTGTGATATTAAAATATTCTTAGCCAGAAAACAAGATATTTTAAAGAATAGTTACATGTATCACTATGTTAATGATTTATGAATGTACCATTTTAATATAAAATCAGTCTGCTAAGATATTGAATAATAGGGAAATATAATTTTCTATAAATAATCAAGTATTGAAATATTTAATACCACATTCAGTGTTTTTAATTTTAAAATATATGACTAGTGAATGCTAATATTATTCACACAATTTGAAGTATCTAATAATCATTTAAATATTAAGTATGAATAAAGAAAGCATCAAATAGCCATATTCATTTATAATATAATATCATAATATATGTTTGTTGTTATATAATATATAATAGGTATTTAATTTAAAACTAATTTAGCATAAATATTTTACCTTATCAGTTAGATCCCCCCCTAATCAGTATTATTTTTTTGAAGTTTTCCTGTCGTTGTCATCAAAACTTATTGTTATCTTTTATTATATTTAATAATTGTAAATAATTGAATTAATACAGATAACAGAAAAACAGTAATTAAATACATTTTTCTGGACACTACCTTTAATTTAATATTTCTATTGTAAAAATATTTCACAAATACTAATATTAATATTCCTATTTTATTTTGATCTTTTACAACGTTTATCTAGATCACGACATACAGTCTTTTGTGGGCGTATTTTATTATTTTGGCCATATTTTTTCCTTTTTCTGAACGATCAGGTTAGACAATTTTTAATACTTAAACTTATTATAATTATTAATTTTTTTTTTTTCAAAATTATAGGTCTAAACCTTATAAATGAATTTAATTTATTTACTTCAAAACCTACTTCAGTGAATCTAAAATTGTATATATTCATTGTTATTGTTGTTTGTATAATATTTTGAATTAAACCGCGAATGTACTTTAAAAACCCAAATTTTTCTGTGTTACAATAGATTTACTCTAATATGAAAAGCAGCGAACGTGTTTAGAAGACATCCCTCTCGCATGTGTCGTTTCCGTCTTATACAAGTACGACATAGCAAATTTCCATTCGGTAGTTTCAATAGTATGCTATCAATTTTGATGTTAGAGTGAATTGACCTAACATCAAACTTTTAAGTAACAACATTATCTATGTTCTCTAGCAGGATTTTTACTATAGCCTAAATTTTAAGTGAGTCATGACTTTATGAGTATGTAAAATATTAATAATTGAAAATGCTCATAATTCACTTCAAGATTAAAACATCGTAAAAAACAAATGAGAGAACACAGATAATGTTGTTACCTAAATATTTGATAATCACTCTAATATATAAAATAACAGCACACTATCTAGTATCTAATAATTGTAACTGGAGAACAAAAATTTGCTATGTCATATGTGTGTAAGACAGAGACAACACATACAGGTGCGACGTTCTCTTAAGAACACTTTAAAACTTATACAAGTCAAGAAGAGTGTTTAAATTATATAACTTTGTTCTAAAATTGGACATGACTGCATGTATAAGGGATCGATCTTGGTACATTTTTTCAATTGTATTAAGTTGATTAAATAATAAATATTTAATTTTGAAATTTAAAAAGAAAATGTGTTAAATAAGTACAAATGTATTCACTTCAAACAATACGATTACGATACGAAACTATACGGTTGTGATGAATAATGTACTTACATGATTTTCAATGATAGTACACAAAATTATTTAATAATGATCCAGTGAAACATTAAGTTTTGGTGCTCGGAAAGGCCTGAATTACACCACAGACAAGGACGTGAACCGGGCAGCTCGAGTGATGGCAAAAAAGAACCGAATACCTATAAGCAAAAATATAAAAACAGTTTTGAATGACACGAACAAGAAAAATGCGTTCAAACTGTTGACAACCTTTGGACGACGGCTGTTCTACTGTGGAACAGCATTAGAGTCGCTGCGGATGGCGGCTGTACTCGTCCGTGAGCAATATGGAGCGGCCCGCCGTCGCGACTAGCCCCTCATAGGAAAACTTCTAATGACTAATGGCCTACGTAAATCCGGCGAGTCCGACGATTTCTATGCTAACCATGCTGTTCCGTCGCAATACGATACGTAATAGATTGAAAACTGTTTTGTTTTTAGTAGCATTTGTCGGATTCACATGAACAGGACGTGAACCGGGCAGCTCGAGTGATGGCAAAAAAGAACCGAATACCTATAAGCAAAAATATAAAAACAGTTTTGAATGACACGAACAAGAAAAATGCGTTCAAACCGTTGACAACCTTTGGACGACTGCTGTTCTACTGTGGATCAGCATTATAATCGCTGCGGACGGCGGCTGTACTCGTCCGTGAGCAATATGGAGCGGCCCGCCGTCGCGACTAGCCGTTCATAGGAAAACTTCTAATGACTAATGGCCTACGTAAATCCGGCGAGTCCGACGATTTCTATGCTAACCATGCTGTTCCGTCGCAATACGATACGTAATAGATTGAAAACTGTTTTGTTTTTAGTAGCATTTGTCGGATTCACATGAACAGGACGTGAACCGGGCAGCTCGAGTGATGGCAAAAAAGAACCGAATACCTATAAGCAAAAATATAAAAACAGTTTTGAATGACACGAACAAGAAAAATGCGTTCAAACCGTTGACAACCTTTGGACGACGGCTGTTCTACTGTGAAACAGCATTAGAGTCGCTGCGGACGGCTGCTGGACTTATCCGTGAGCAATATGGAGCGGCCTGCCGTCGCAAACTAGCCGCTCATAGGAAAACTTCTAATGACTAATGGCCTACGTAAATCCGGCGAGTCCGACGATTTCTATTCTGACCATGCTGTTCCGTCGCAATACGATACGCAATAGATCGAAAACTGTTTTGTTTTTAGTCGCATTAATTGTCGGATTCACGTAGGACACGGCGTACTCATAACATTTTAAAAAAAAAAACACAAAACACTTTACAACGGTCGCAGAACACTATCATGCTCGAAATATTATTGTAATTGGCAATGTAGTTATCACACCGAGACGACGAGACGAAACAGTGAAACTGTGACCTTCGCGCAAGGGGACAGACAAACACACACGAAATCCGGTGTTCGTGGAGCGAGCACATATTTTAGAAATGTTCAAATCTATTGAAAGGTTGATCCATATTTCATAATATTATTTTCATTAAACTCAGTAACTCACTTACTCAGTGTCTCGGTCAGCTAGTCACGAATTAAGATTTACGATAATAATATATAATATACTGATACGGAACGATGTGCCTTATCAGTTATTATCAGTATTAGAGCTCGGATGTTAATGTCCAAAATTTCATTAAAGTATGCATTTAAATATTTCAAAACATGCAATTATAATGCAACAAATATGCGCAAATATCAATTCAAAATAAATTATAAACACTACAAATGGGATGTACCTACCTACTTAATACTAGTAATAGTAATTCAGAATATTTTTTGTTTGTAAATGCACCTATTTAAAATAATTTCATTGCAAAATAGGTACACAACTAGTATAAAGGATATATTATATTAAATGTTACGTAGGTTAGATACTTCAAATATCAAGATTACACTGTGTCACTGTATAACAATGATTTTGCATATATTTTCAAATTTGTTAGACTTTCGACGATCTGACTGTATGTTTTTGTAAACTGAAATCGACGATTACCGACGATATATTGTACGGTAAAAGTTTTATATTTATTAAAATATTAATTAAAATTTTGCCTACGAAAAGTCCACATCACACTGGGCGTATTATGTTGGGATAGTAGGGACGTGCCTTAATGCTGTAATCAAGAAAATTGTCTCAAGAAAAAAATTGTCTAATAGTTGTCTGTCTTCAATTATGACGTGAACCGATTGTCCGCATACGGCATTTTTGTCCGGAGACTAATAATAGTGTCCGTTTACCACCACAGTGTAATAGATTATAGTTAGTAAAACGTCCAGACGATGGTGCAGTGTAACTTATATATTGTATCTGCACGAGAACGGATAAAACACACCGTGAATTTTGGCGCCGTGGAAAATGATATGATAAGTCATCCTTATCACAATTCAAGCCGACATACACCGGTGTATTGTAGTTCAGCTGTTGCACCAGTGTGGTGTGGTATCAGTATTTGCGTGTGTTGTGCAATAAGTCACAAATCCTTTGAGATAACGTGAATCCCGTATGTGTTGTCTCCGTCTTACAAGTGCGTAACATACCAAATTGTACGCTCGGCAGATTTCGTTTAGCTCCGTTAGTTTACAAATTAGAGGAATCGACCTCCGATAATATTGAAAGGTAAGACTATTATCCAGTCAATGTCATAGGCGTTTTATTATATTCTAATTTTAAAGCGAGTTATGAGTATTTTAAAATGTACAAACAATTTTAAAATTCTCGTGACTCGCTTTCAAATAAAAATATAATAAAAAGCCTATCAGATTATCTAGATCTATAATATCTTACTTTTAAATCTCATACTTAAAATTTGCCATGTTACGTACTTGTAAGACAGAGTCAACACATGTGGGGGCCACTTAATCTTCAGGTTAAAAAGACCATTTGTCAATGATAAAATGATAAGATAAAGGGGGGGGGGAATACATATTCACATAATCTAACCTTCATATTATCATTGGGATCAACAATTTGTTGTAGACAAACAAAGAGTCGGCGGTAACGGAATGCAACAAGGTAACAACTTAGTAATTGCTTGTGCTGTTTGATGAAATTGTTTATGGATAAATAAATATTTTAATTGAATATTATACTTTGCAGTTTGCAGGTCACCGGCAGCGTCATTACTAAATACATATCACCGGGCGTCGCCACTCCCATCGACCAAGTTTTGTAAGTTTTGTTGTCATTTTTCAAAACTCGAATCTTTAGTCAGCGCCTAGTTATAGTTACCAATGGTTTCTATGGCCACGTCCAGGAACGGTGTGACGGCCGCTGGCCTGTCGTTTTTGGCAACGTTTTTGGTCCTGTTGGCGTTCACGACGAAGAGCTGGTTGGTCACGGATGGGAAATTAAAGAACCCAGAGTTCGAAAGACTCGGTTAGTATAGATGGGTGTTAGTATATCTGCGCTTACATAGTTTTTCACATTTTTTTGGTCCCTGATAACTAAAGAGAATTTTTTCTTATCGCAAAATGAAATATTTTCAGCTCGAGTATCTATAAATGCTCAATAGAATCTGTGTTGGGGTTTTAAAAAATGCGTTCAAATATCTTTAATTTGGTTCAAAAATTGTTTGTAGGTACTTTATTTTTTACGCTCTTGTACCTACTATATTAATAAAGGTATGAGCAGTAAAAGTCTTTAATTCAGGGTTGGTAATATACGCCTTATAAAACGTTTTATATGTTACATGTGTAAAGGTTATAAATCCTTATAATGACTAAGATATAATATATAATAGTATATGGTAGTATAATACATTGATTGCTTTGAACTTTTAGTTATTATTTTGTGTGTATTATTAGTGATAATACTGTAAATTTTAATTTTAATAATTATAAACTTATATAGGAATATAACAAATTAACAAATCACATCAACTTGGTGAATTTTCTTAAGTTTAGAATAAAATAAAATGAAAACAAATTTATTTTTTGTTATTAAAATATTGATGTAGTTATTAATAATGATGACTTGGTAATTAATATAACAAATATTAAAAAAAACCTCATCAACCTCACACTTGATAAATTCTGCTCAGTGCAACTATATAAAAAAACTTTTATGCTATATGCCTTATACGTACCCTGCTTTAATTATGTGATTATGTGGTTGTTTGAAATTTAATTGATAGAATGATGACTTTTTATGCATTGTATCTTCTATTCCGACCGACGGTTTTCACCCATAGGGTCCTTTCCCTTTTTGTTCAATCAGCTTTTGCTGTTGAAACTCGATCTCATGATATATGTTGAGATATTTTAAATAACAACATTTTTATAAATTTGGCAAGTTTCAATTGCTTGGAAAGTACTTCAGAGTACTACTATAGTTACTACATAGTTACTCTGAAAGAATACAAGGCTGTACATTTTATTTTAATTATCTTTTTCTCTAATGAACTAGAATTTTTTTCTTATCTAGATATGTAGTGCCTATGCTTGATTATAATAATTTGAATTTCCTGCATACTTAAAAAACTGATTTACAAAGCAAAAAGATCTCAACATTTCTTTTCAATTGATAATAAGGTTATTTAAATATTAAAATAATCCACAAGTAGGTTTCCAGGTTTACCAAGCATTTTTACAATAATAGTTAATACTATCCAACTTTGTTTGCTCTTTTTTATTAGTATTAACATTGATTATAAATACTATAGATCGCTCACTGTGGTGCAAAATATGCTGCGCTAATTTACTAGCGATCCTGGTGTTAAACACCATAAACTGACTAGGGGGCCAGGTTATGAGATGGCCTATCTTATCATTAGATTACCTATCTTATCTAGTTTCTGGCGTTTAACACCAAGATTGCTAGTAAATTAGTGCAGCATATTTTGTACCTCAGTGAGCGATCTATTGTATTTATAATCAATGGTATTAATAAAACTAAATTTTAATAACATATTGTTACAAATTTCTGAAATTAATAATGTTAAGTTATTAATTTACACTATGATGAAAAGAAAATGAAATTAGGTATTTACTTTTTAATAACTATTTGTTTAACTGTTCACATTCATAGGTCTATGGGTAGCATGTTTTAAAGATTTTGAGGACTCCCGTCATTGGCACGACACAGGATTCTATAATTGTTGGTGGGTGTTTGAAGAAGAATATTATACTACCTCTGATATTATATTTAAAGGTTTGTTTATGACTTGGTTTTTTTTTACTTTTCATCCATAACAAATAAAGTTTAAACTTTAATGTAAAATTTAAAATTAATACAAATTTTTTTCCTTAGATTTTTATGTTGCTACTCAGTTTTTCTTTACGTCTTGTGTTCTCTTAACAGTGTTTGGTTTATTATACACTACACTTTATATGCATCTAAATAGAGCTTATGTAGGTTATGTTCAAATTCTATTATCAGCTGGAATACTTAACATAGCTGCAGGTAAAACATTGTGTTATGTTGTCTTATAATTTGTAACATACCTATTAATGTGTTAAAAATATTATTTTCAGCTATATGCAGTAATATTGCTCTGATAATATTTGGAATATATGGAGACAATAGAGAATGGATGCCACATTGTGAACACAATGATATAGGATGGAGCTATGGAGTAGCAGTCGCAGGAACCATTGCCCTTTATGTCAGTGGAGTATTGTATATAATGGAACAACGTATATACAATGTTAAACTCGAAAAAATGGCTACTCAAAGGGCCAATTACAACTCTGAAGCTAATGACTTATTACAATCGTCTCACACTGCTGTATAAAATCTCAATTTTATTTTCAAATATCCAGTAACAGAATTTATACGTTTTCATTAATTTTTCTTAATAAATGTGTACAGTGAGTACTTCTTAAACAAAGACTCGTTATCATTCTTTAATTAATGGCTACATATACTTTGCATAGAAAACCCTTGGAATTTTTTTTAAATAACACATATTATTAATAAAGGGCTGATGTCCATGCTCCAAAAAACTTAAATATATGGATTATACAATTTTAAAATGCGCACTATAAATTGACATTACAATATGCCTAAAAATATGTAAAAATATGATTGAAATATGTAAATATATGCAACATAACAATTTTGATTTCATATTTATAGGCCACAAAATAAATTTCTATCCTACTCTGCGACTTTTATTATTAAAGGAAAAAAATTTGAAAATGCATGTGCATTCTCCCTTTAATTATTATGTATAGTATGGATGAGCACTTATGGATTTTTATTCTTAAGAATGACTTTTGAATTGTTACTTAGTTACTTGGTAATTTATACCATTATTGACAAACTGTAATAAATTAATTGATGATCTTACTTTGAATTTGATGTACAATTCATATTGGTTAGGTGTATACAACTCATAAACACAAGAAACTCATATATTTAATTTAAAATCTATGAATTTCAATCATAATTATTAGAGAGCGGATCTTTAGGTTTTTACGTTACATATTTGTATTTTATGCAACTTTACGAGGATGAATAATATGGACGATTTATCTATCACAGAGTTTGCAGGAAAAAATTAATTTTGCATATTAAAGCATATATTGGACATTAGAGAATATTTACCCTACTTTTCATATTTTAGAATATATTCTATTATTGTTCATAATAAAAATCATATATTTTGTTAATTTCTCGAGTTGTGATTTTTTGTGGCAACAATTTTTTCTAGGGAAAAAAATAACTTGAAATTTTAAGAATCTTAAAAATTAAAAATCATTTAAATATCTACTTGTTTGTAATCAAATTGGTAATGTTGGTCATGCTGTTACTGTCAGTGAGTGATTGTACCATAGATTATCGTATTTGATAACTGATAACGTAATGAGAATGATATTTTAATAATAAATTTGTTTTACTTTTATATTTTTTAATATTTTAACTTTTAATTTCTTACGATTTAGTTATGTAATTGTTAAGTTATTTATTGTTTTTGTTGAACTATTTTAGAAAAAAAACATTATCTGCATATTTACAAGTTTTAGGAGTATTTAGAGAATATTTTAGGGTTTTTTAGAACATATTAGCATCAAATATTAAGCTTTTAAGAATCTAAAAATCCACACATTAATTATAATATTTTTTATTGTTCGTATGACTAATAATAATAAATGAGAATTTTGTGAAAAAAATGCTATAAGTAATTTAAGTATATTTTTTATATTTAGATTAACCATTATCCTTCCATTTAATACTAACTTAATTTTAGTAACTAGTGCTACACAATTATTGCAGTAAAATTGTCAAAAATACTTTTACATTTTTGTAATTTATAGTAGGTCACTATTGTCGTATGCATAGTTAACTTATGTGACACATAAATAGACTATGCATACTGGCATAAGTATTTTTATACTAATTTGTTAAGTATGCCCTTTATAAAGCAAAAGAAAAAAAGAAAATTAAAAATTAAAAATTGTGTAGTAAGTGACTAAAAAGGGAAATAATTGTTTTCTACACAATTGTCTGCGTTGAGTGATATATTACATTTACCCTAGACCACTCTACCAATAACGTGTTATTGAAATAAAAGCTTCATTTTTTTTTTTGTGGTTAAAGGGATCGAAGCACATGTATTTTTCATACGTTTTAGACCACTAATAGGTGGTAAATTACACAAACTTTGGATACACACTACTATTTCAATTGAAAATTTATATATAAATATCAATTTTCTAATTCTTTGAAAACATCTAGATTTTAAATTTCAAAATTAAGATAATTTTTTAAAAAATTCCATGAAACATTTGCGTTACATTTTTAATTATTTTGGGCGCATCTGATTTTAAATCAAAAAAGTTATTCCTAAAGAGCATAGTCTATAATCTTATAATTTATAACATCGACCATTTTTTTTCGAAATTACAATCAAACTTCAGGATGTACCTTCAAGATTGTATGAGTTAATTACTATACCTGTTAGTAGTTTTTATAGTTATGAAAACAAAAATATATTTAATTTTTCTCCATGTATTGACCTGTGAACTAGAATCGGCGTTTCAGTGATTCTCTGTAACACACAGTAATGTTAATTTACTGCTCACACATGGACATAGCCGAAATGTACATGCCATATGAGTTGCCTAAATATTACTCCTTAAAACATGTTAGGCCTAATAAGTAGGGCCCGGAAGTTCATGCACAAAAAACTATCAAAATATGCATGCAAATATGCTCTTAAAATCTATAAAACTTGCGCTAAATATGCATTTAAAAAAAAAAAGTTATTTTCGTTTTTGGTAAAAAAAAATAATTAAAATATGGGAAAAAACAAGCAAAATGTATATATTAATTAATATGGTATATTATGTTATATTTACTTTAGGAATTACAATTATAATAATAAATTATAATTTAGAAGTATAACTGGCTTATCGGCGATAAACTATCGCCTATCATGAATTATCGCATGGACTTCCGGGCCCTACTAATTACATAATATTAAATTATTTAAGTATTACCTGTATAATTTTAAACAGGTTTTTATACTCAAAGACCGAAATTTCTATAAAATATTAATGAAAAAAATAAATATCAAAGGTAAAATGCAATAAAATGCAGTACAATGCAATTTTTTTTTTTAATATGCATATTATGTAAAAAACCTCAAAATATGCGAAAATATGAAAACTAAAATTTCATTTTTGAACTCATCAGGTTGTGATTCAAATTTGTAGCTCCTCCAGCAACTTTTTGATGCCCTCATTAAAAACATGCAAATGCATGAACTTCCGGGCCCTACTAATAAGTAATGATTTTTTTTTTGCGAAATTGACGATGTAATTTTTTTAATTGTAAGCTTTCCTAAGTTACTAGTTTGTATATTTCAAGACTATGAAATTCATACTCGTCGTACCAAGGGTACATATAACTTTCTTTATTTTACTGTTTTTCTTTTTAAATTAATTTTTTTGTATTTTTTAAACGTACCTACGATCTGAATTTGTCACAAATATACATAATATAATACATTTTTATACAATAAGGTTTTTGATTGGGTTTCACCTGAGTTGGTCGGGCGTGTGTGGGAGTATTTGCTTTAACTACTTAACCACCGGTTCCGACGAAGCACTGCCTAATTTACATATCGTTTGTGATGAAATAAGTACGTTTTTGTAGCTGTTATTATCGTTACGTTTCAGTCGTCTCACTCGGTTTTTGGTTGTCAGCACGAACTAAGATATAGAAGACTGGACACGCGGATATCTGATTATGTTTCCCTAAAACTTAAAAGTGAATTCGCAGTAAACGGTAAACACTAAGCATATATTTATAGGCCATCGAAAAATCCTTTGGCGTGCTAGGTTGGACGCCGTCTGCCCTTGGAAAAACTTGAAAATTAAATTAACGAGACCATTGAATTTTATCAATTTTCGGTAAATATAAGAGTCGACTCTTGGCTTCCGAAAAATGTACCTATACGGCTATACCTATTTGAATAAGTTCCCAAAACGGTCAAAACTGTAAAATATTTAAGAAGTTCTCATATGATACGTGCTTACTTTTACGAGGGTATATATTAGCACTAACTTGCACTCAAATACTACTACCTACTCAGAGTCTTATTTACCGGCTTATTTATGGTAATTGGGGGCTCTGATTTTGTACCTTTTACTATTATTATTATTCGTTTCAACTTTAAAGTAAATAGAAATACGAAAAAAAATTTTTTTTCAAATCAGGAAACGTATTTTTGTTTACAATCTTGATAATTTTTTAATAGTTATTAAAATAATGACATTTTTATTCTACGAATTTAATAGCTGTCTATATACAAATATGTATCAGTGATTATAGTGTAAAGTTGTTGTGACTATTAAGAGGAATCGGACCTGCATAATATGTTGTCTCCGTTTACACAAGTATGGTATAGCAAAAACGTTTTGGAGCGGGAAAAAACCGAGAATTCTACAGTCATAACTAAGAAACTAAAATTTCACCACATATATAGGAGAACTTTGACTGTGCAATATTGTTTTTATTTTTTTGATATCACTTATAAGAAAAATGTTCTTATTGTTTCAAAATCCATTAATATTTATGTTTTTCAAACTTTAATAACTTTTTTTGAAGCTCCGATAACGAAAAAATAAAAACGATATTGCACAGCCAAAGTTCTCTTTTTTATGTACCTAGTGAAAATGTCGTTTCTTAGTTATGACTGTAGCGATATCAGTTCCTTCCCTCGCAAAACCGTTTTTGCTGTGTTGTACATTTATAAGACGGAGAGACACATTCGGCTGCAACGTCCTCTTAAATAATATTATATTATATTTATACGGGCGTATGCGTATGACTTGGTATTCGCATCATCACTGATTGTAACTGAATTATTATTATATTATATTTGGATATTAAGTATAATTGTACTCGTACACAATTTGACACAATTTGAATGTGTTTTTCTTTATAATGTTTGATGTCACAGCCAGTGTATAGGGCTACGACAATGTGGGGTAATTTGGGTGTTGGATGTCTGGATAGGAGGGATTTCCCCTGTCTGATAATAAAAACAGTCCGATGGGTCTCTATTGTCTTTTTACTTAGGATTTGTCTTAGTATTTGAGAATATGGTCAAAATAAATTCTATATTGAAAATAAAGTAAAACCAGTTAATACATCGAAATATCGAATGATTGAATTTTAGTTAGGTACGTATTTAGTTATTTGTGCCTATATATGGCTGTATGATAAATAATAAAATAATATGCAAGATTGCAATTGTAATAAAAAAAATGTTCTATGTAAGCA